TCCTTACACGCGAGAGCCAACCAGAGTGCGAAAAAGGTGCAGGCAGTTACGTAACCGTTGGCCATGCCAAGTTGGGGCCTTGCAGGAGGTTCTTTTGTGCACACAGAACCGGTTTCCTCAATGGGATAGCGGTTGCTTCTGCTGTTGCCAGCAGACGTTGACCCAGGGACTTTGAGTAGTTTGGCGGGATCTCGTAAACTACCTTAAAGGCTTCGTTGGGGTCCACACGATGTCCGGAGTCAACCATGTGGGCAAGGATATAACTGTTGCTGCTTTTGATTTCACCTTTGGCTAGCCATGCCGGGAGGTGTTCTTGTATTATTTTGCGCAGCCAACGCTCTACCACTGAGCTACGAGGCTCACGATGAACCGTAAAAATTTAAGCACACTTGGGTCGATTTGGCAGCCGAACATTCCGGTGGATTCTGTATGATAACTTAGGAAATCCTGCGTGGGCAGTCAGTTTACCGCATCCGTAATGGTGGATTTCATACAAGCAGTAGGCTGGGTGGACAAATCGATACAACTGTGTTTAGATTCATGGCGTACAGTGAGCCTCTTAACTTAAATTGTAAACTGTTGGCTGCGCAAAAGCCTTCCGTGCTGTGTGGGTTCGACCCTCACCGAGGCAGCGAATTTTTTGGGTCAACCGAATTAGGTGACTACTTGTTCTATGCAGCGGCGGAATAATAATTTGACTGTAATCACATGGCGCATTGTAAACTACTTCGTTTCTTGAAACTCATTATCTACCGTCTTCTTCATTTCATAATTGATATAACCTACGTGCCCTTAAAATATTCTGCGATATAATGACTTCGAAAGTCCATTGCAATGGGAGAACTTACATTCTCGCTAACCACGAATGCTGATGCTCATATTTTTTGGCTTTGTTAATTGTTATGTAAACTCTGATCACAGATTGTTTAACGAATAAAGGAATATTTATTTTACTGATATTTAAACTAATGTATTAATTTTTACTGAAAATCATAGCTGGAACATATTTATTTGTCATTATTAGTTAATATGCAGCATCCTTGGTATGCTGTCATCCCCCGAATATCGCGAAGTTTAATTTCCAAGACTACACACGAAATTCAAATTTCCGTCAAGAAGCATCTATATATGCATACATTAAGGCTTAATAAAAACTTACCAAACCCTTGTCAACTTTAGTAATCTTTCCAACAGTTTAATGAAAACTTCTCACGCCCTTAGACACTGTACTTTATTCTTGCCAGTACAAGCGGACATGTGAGTTCCAGGAAGTAATTGAGAAGTAGAATATGCGATCGTTTTGACAAGGTCTTTATTTACCTGACGTCTCGAAGGCTCTCGCGGCTTCTTCATCAGAGACATTAGCATAAATAGAAGCAGAAACGGTTACTTTATGCATAGAAATGTGAAGTACATATAGGATACAGCCATTATGACACTGCGCACGTATGACCAATAACTTCTCCCCCTATCAAGAATAATTTTCCGTTCGTGCGCTAATTGCTTGATGACCGCTAAACTTTCTTCTCACTTAATGAACTTTTACGTGTACAAGTATTTCAAGAACAACGTTCCTTGGGAGAGAAGGTAACTTAATCAGTAAATTTCGACGGTGGACCCCAGGTCATCATCAGACTTGAGAAAATATGCGTAGAAAAATTAGAATTTCAAAAGTACCGGTACAATTATATAGTCATCTGGTGTGAGCGGCAATTGGCAACCGTAATTTGCGTAAGTACGGGATTGAAAATTAAGGGTAATCTGGTGTGGGTGCTAATTAGCAGTTGCGATTCACGCTTGTCCGTAGTGATCGGATGTCATGTCTTCCATTTTGTTCGAGATGTTTGTACAGAACATTTATTTCGATATATCGGTTGATGCATGCATAATCTAAGTGCATGACCACAAGATAATCCCGGACTCTTTGGGATAGGCATACTCCGATTATGCGTGTTTTGTCTCATGCAAAAGTGTACCCTGTATCAAGGCAATGCATAGCCACTTCGGGAAAATGGTTAAGTCTTTTCACTGCCAGTTGGTGTTCGTGAATGCGTGCGGAGAAGGATCTTCCTGTTTTGCTACAATATACGGTATCGCAAGTTTCGCATGGGATCCTATATGTTAGGACGGCCTACCGAACAGCCTTGGCAAGCAGTAGCTTGCGAGCGATAGCCCATACACGGCAGGCTATTGATAAGCCTACACTAGGCGAACACAGACTTGGAATCAATCAATCGATAATTCGAAATTCATATTGCAGCCAGCCGTCGAGTCACCAGCCAATCCTACGGCGACTACGTCAAGAGGGGAGCTGATTGGCTCGATGGACACCGTGTTACACGCGTTTGTTGTCCTAAATACGTTAAACCTCTTACAATAAAATACTTCTGCGGTTGCATACTTCTTGTCGTGTTCTTGCTTTGGGGACTCACACAAGGCCTTATTAGGCGGTGTTATCTCGGACTGGGCTTCCGTTACAACACTACAGATAACTTATTTCTCATCAAGGTAGCCAAGCTGGGTGGATAAAACAGCCGTCTATTCGTGCGCCACTTTTATTTGGTATTTCCGCAAGTGCCTTTCGACGAGTTCAAACACATTCCTTATATATGGAAGGATTTGCCATGTTATCGGTTTGGACGCCGGAATGGAAATATCTATGTATATAAGAAGAAAATAAGAAAAAACAAAATCCCGCGAAGTTCCCAGAAAGTATCCTAAGGGGAAATTGCACAGTGTCTCTAGTGTGTGTGTGTGTGTGAAAAGCAAGGGATCACTATTTTTTGTTTACTATCCTAATAAGAAGGCAACTGCTACCAGCGCTTTCTTTTCCGTCCATACGCAGTCCCCAAGGCAATATGGAGACGACTTACTACCGCTTGAAAAAAGTTCTGGAGGATTTGAAACAGGACATTTCTGACGAGGATGTGGACACTGCCGTGAGGCTGGCACTCAGAAGGAAGGTATCACTTGCAGGTCAATTACCGAAGGAGGAGGAAGCGGAGGAAGAAGAAGACGAAGTGGACCTTGTCGATGTGCGTACCTTCTCAGTGTATTCATAATGTTGTAGAAATGCCCCGTCAGGGAATTCAGAAGAGTAGTCGGGAAGCTTAGGTAGGCTTTCGATAAATTCTCATTGGCACATTACATTTATGTGGGAACGGGGTACAAGTTAAACAGCCACTTAGCTGCATGTACTCATCCACACTATTTTTGTCACTCTTCCCTCCCCTAGAGTGACTCCACTAAACCCTGCGCTCGGAACCAGCCTTCTCTTATCGACCCCTTCCTCCCGATTTCCACGATTCGCTTCTAAGAAAGAAAAAAAAACAAACATTATTAACCGCGGTTTACCTTTTACTCCATTCTCCTATAAATTTAGCGGCCTGATGAGAATTTCTCAAAAGCCTACGTTTGCTCGACAACTACTCTTCTGAGTATTCGTGATGCTTAAACACCTCGTAAACCTGTTGCAAACAAGCAAACACGGAACTGCGCCTTTATACTTCGCCACCTAAAATAGACAGCAAATATGCATTAAGTGGGCTTTTATACCTGCCATGCGAGCGAGCGAATTTAATACAGCAAACAGCAGTGTGCTTGCTGCCCGCACACATACAAGCACACGAGACATCACTTGCCTAAACTAGAAATATCCACGTAAACAACCAAAATTATGCAACGGTTTCTTTAGTGGTAGGCCCGTTTTATAAATTTATATGAGACACGTAAAAAGTAAGCATTGCATGTAGTTTTTTCGCGGGATCTTTCCAAGTATTGAATGCGAAAAATGCGCTGTTTAAGTGTATTTGTGGGAATCATTGAAAGACTACTGAGTAGGACTGTTTTTAGAGGTTCCTTTTAACTTTTAACTTATAAAATTAACCTACTTTTACATTTTCAGTAACCCGACTTTCCTTCTTTTTCGTTAATTTTTACCAATATAAGATTGAATTTCTCTCAATATGTATCAGCTGTCTGAGCAACGGGAGTTTACGTTAAGGAAATTTAATCTATTAAATATATTGTGAGAGACATAAGTTTCTGTAAAGTGATAGTTTTTGATCACTCCAACACAATCAGATATTCATTTACACTCGCAAACCAAAAATGTTTAACAACAAATTATGTAGGGCAGTTGGGCGGGGAAGTTGATATTAAGGCAGCCCTACAAGACAGTTTTGCCGAATTTCGCAAACATTCGTTCAAAATAATGTAATAATTTTTTGTCCTTGAAAATCAAATTTACTGATTTTTCGGTAGGTTTGATATATTGGAGGTTCTCTTGGTTATTCAGGGCCGTATTACGAGCAGTAAAACAAGCTAAGGACATTTTTAGAAACGAAGCATTTGGTTTTTCCACCCCAACAGCAAAAAGGGTCTCATCAGAAGCTGTCGCAAGGGAACAATAAAATTGACAAGTACTTTTAAAGAAGAATGAAATAAACTAGGTGCAAAAACAAACCTCGCAAAAATAAGGTCTACTTAATAGAGACAATTTTACTTAAGAGACGATCTTTTCTTGTTTTATGAGCCCCATTTGGTTTTTTTAACGATAGGAATAACACAGTTGGAAAGCATTTCGTGATTTATTGTGAGAAAGTAAGTTGAACCACGAGACCTTCGGCTGTAGGTCTTGCAGTCAACGTCACACGGAGGCGTGCAAAAAATCCACAAAAATTAACAAAAACTACGACAAGGGAGCATATGTTCTTCTTGATTTGCATGCCTGGGCAAACTGGGAGAGAAAAAGACGAGAGTTGATTAGACGAAATTGGTGTTACGGAGGGTGCTATTAAATAAATAACGCCAGTATATGTGTGGTTAGTATAGCCAATAGAATTGAAAGAACAAATTGATAAGTTGTGCATGACTGCATTCGTTAATTTCCACAGTGAGATGCTGTGGTTTTTTGGTGTTGTCGACAAAACAGCTTTTAAGGTAGACAAACCAATAGGCTCTTGCGAGGGACCTCAACGTTTCTGTTCTCCTTTGTCTTCTGCAAGGTTGAAATGGAGTTTAAAGTTGTTTACAAATTTTTTTGGAAAAAAGTCAGTTACGTAACAACCCTCATTTTTAGGAAAGCTCTGAAGAAGAGATTGCCGTAAGGAAAGGTGGAAAAGGTGCCAAAGTGGACGCAAAAACGCAAAAAGGGAGAATGAAAGACGGGGTAATATTTAGACACTCTTTTGAAAAAAATAATAAAACATGTTGGGTCTTGAAAATCAACTTCGTAGCCAAAGGTAACCGAACTTACAGTATGACGACGTCCAATTATTAAACCTGCACGAACGAAAATTCCTAGGCATACTTGCCAGTTTTTTTTCACTGTGGTCTAGTAGACTGTGATTAGATGTTATCAGGAAAGCCCGCGTGTATGCAACAGCGAAACTCTTCGGTATTGCCGACGAAACCACAAAATTGCATCAGTGCCATCAAAGAAATGGAAAGAGCTTAAACGCGTTTGTAGAGACTG